CTACCATGAGGTGGACATTTAAAGTACCTGTAATCGTTCGGGACCTTCATAAGTGGAGCTCTATATCATGTTGAAATCTTGATAAGGTTTGACACACAATTCGGCTAAAAAACTAGACCATAATTTCGAATAATGGGAGCTAACATAAAATGTGGACCAATATTTATATTTTTTAGTAGGGGGATTTGTTACCCAATGGAAATTCAAAGTACCATATTACAGTCAATTCGGTTAAACAACATGCACAAACTCCCCAAAATACAGAATAATAGGGGTACCGTTATTTAGGGCTATCTGAAAAAGTGGACCGATATTAAAGATTTTTGGTAGGGAGATTTACTACCCAATGGCAACTCAAAGTATCAAATTTGGTTTAAAACGAAACTCCCAAAAATACTGAGCAATGAGGTGTACTGTTATATTGGTGCTATAAGTGGACCGATATGTCTCATTTTCAATTCCAAACATACTAGGATTTTACTACAAAGTTCGAAAGTGCAAAAGTTCAATGGTTTATCTTAAATATTGCGTGAGCTATCATGATTCCAGAAGACAGACTGATATGGCTAAGACGTTTAAATCGACATACAATTTTATTCTGATCAAGAAGAAGTTAGGTGTGGGATGTATAGTTGTTAATTACAACCGTTCACTCAGAGACAATTGTCCATTGTGATCATCATTGATACCTAAAAAGAAAGGGAAAGGAAAAGAGAATCGAAGGGAGGAAACTATTTGGGGTTTGAGAGCCTAGAAGGTGGTTATTTTAGCAATGTCAAGTTTTTGACAAAGCCTAGGATCTGATTGGGGTCTATTTTGGTTATCAATTTCATATCTTCCAAACTGTCTGTGTCTTCTGCCACTCAGCGACCGTTCACTCAGAGACAATTGTCCATTGTGATCATCATTGATACCTAAAAAGAAAGGGAAAGGAAAAGAGAATCGAAGGGAGGAAACTATTTGGGGTTTGAGAGCCTAGAAGGTGGTTATTTTAGCAATGTCAAGTTTTTGACAAAGCCTAGGATCTGATTGGGGTCTATTTTGGTTATCAATTTCATATCTTCCAAACTGTCTGTGTCTTCTGCCACTCAGCGATGGACATCTACAGAGGATATGTTCAATTGTTTCTAGCTCCTCTTCGTCCTCACATAGACGACAGTAATCCTCTCCGTTGGAGTCCCATTTCGAAGTGAGGGATCTAATCTTGCAGTGACCTGTTATGATCCCCACAATGATTTTGATCTCTCTTATAATGTGGAAATAGCGAAGAAGTTATTCGAAGAAGCGAAGAAGTTATTCCATCTCCCGTTCGTGAAAAATGGCAGACCTGGCAGAGGCAAGGAGCCACTAGTCCAGGATTCCCTACTGGGAAACTCTACTCTGATGTCGTTAAAATCTCTATGAGAGGGAACATAATTACTAATGTGAGTACTCCTCCTCAAGAAGTTACAACCTGACGTCATGTTGAGGATACTCGCGCTCCGGTAATCAGGATCGAAACCGATCGCTGTACTGAGTTCATTTTAGTCAGCAGTATCTTTTTGTTGGCCACCTGCCACCATACAAGGCATACAATGTAAGAATGGGGATTACTACCGTCACATACTACTACTACCGTCTGGTCTTAAAATATTGCGAGTCCTATGTTGATTTCAACAGACATAAGGACATTCTTGATCAGAATATGCCTATGTAGATATTCTGATCAGAATTTTATTTTTTGCAATCTCTGTAGAATATTTCAAGGTAATGCAAATTACAAATTTAAAATACACTTCACCTTATTCTTCACACTTACCATATATAACCGGAAACACAGTACTGGCTTTAACATTCTGAAATGGCACATCCAACTTCTTGCCATTAAAATAGAAATTCAGTTCAATGTGATCGAATGAAACACCAACAATATCACCTTCATCGGGAAATTGATTTTGTTGCGTCCGCTCTTGATTCGTCGTCGCTGTGCTATTATTTTCCTGCATTGGATTTTTCACCTCTACCCCACCACCATCACTACGACCCGTTGTCAATAGTAAATCTTCATTTATATCTTCGATACCGATTAGGCCTGGAACTGTGGTACCATTTATAATAACATCACCATTAGATTTTGTTGGTTCATTTGTTGTCGCCACCACGGGTCCATATTCTTCCCCGTTGTGACGGGTAACATTATCCGAACATAGACACCAACTTTCCTTGTCCAAACCACCATATTTTTTATCCAAATCTGCTTGGCGTGTAGCCAATCCGATTGACCAAATTCCTTTTTGTTGAATTTTCACTTCGAAATAGGATTTCGATTGAACCAAGGGTGCTGTGCCCAGTGCTCCACCAGTACCCGTAATGCGTAGATAATTGGACAATAAGATAACTTCAGTTCCTGTGGGATGAGATTTTTTGTAAGGAAAATGTTTAATTTAGGAATATTTTTTTCTTTTTCTTACCAGCATTTGCAACATCTAAATGAATCTCTGGTTCTTTCACACGATTCACCACGGTTTTGTTTGTCTGATGTATACTACCATTTAAACAGGATCTTAGGCAGCAGAACATGTTTGTGTTATTGTTCGGGCAACTAATACTATGTTTTTATTAAATTTATTTTAATTATTTATCAGCTTTTTTTAACAATCTGTTTGTTTTGCAAATCCAACTATTTTTTCACCAACTGCAGATATATTGAAAAACGTTCCACCTTGGCAGCGCATCTGATCAGCTGTTGTTAAATGTAGCTGTGTTCAGTAAACATTGGGAAGAATTTCACGCACTAAAACGTTACACATTTAAATATTTTTATATTATAAATTGTTAAATATTACAAAAAGTAACGCAGGTCCGAACTTTTTATAACCTCCACCATGTGATGGACATTCGAAATACCTAAAATCGCTCAGGAAATATATATGGGAAATATGCCATGGTAAAAGGAGAAAAGGAAATCCACTCATCAGCAAACTAGGTGCTAGAACTATGCATATAAGGAAAATGACGCGTGACCCTTCTAAAATATGTTTTCTATTCACAATTTGATATTTTCTCCTCTGAGGTAAGTCCAACACCGGCTACGTAAACAAAATCATTTCTGCATTAAGTATTGTTTATAGGTACAAAGTCACAGTTGTTAGACCGGTTTCTGTCGGTAACTGTACCTGAATATAAATGTCAAATAACCGGAAACGTTGTCAAAAAATACATATCCATAGTTAGGCTGTAAATGCCAACCTAGTGTTTTCGCCAATGCCGACCAACATTTCCTGGTATCCTTAACTGGATTCGTTGGCGGAAGCCAAACTTTGGAAATGACAAATTGAGAACTGTAATCGCCCGTTTTACTCCTGCAGTCTTTTCCTGGATTAAAGGCTACTGATGTTTTATCATTAGCCATTCCAGGGTTCGAGAGCGACTTATCACGGTCGCTCACAGTTTAATCATACCGGTTACAATGTTGCAACCTTTCAGAAGTTATAACCATTTATTCCACTTATGTCCCGTAATAAATGTGCTGATCTCCAGAGTGATTGAGATCTGAGTCTGAGATCGGAGCTCATCACGCCTACTGTCGCTGCTGAAATATCAGGTCTCATCTTGGGTATTCGACCACTGTCCTTACTACTAAGGAAATTTTCTGCAGCGATTATGGGCGAACTCTCCGATTCCTTGCCTGCTGAATTTCTCACAAGTACAGTAGGTCTGGTGATGTAAAAGATCATCAGCCTGCGCAAGAATCAATGATTCTGATCCATATAACAGAAAGGATAGGATCAGCTTCTTGTAGTTTGGTATGGCGTGAGGTGGCCTTTTTTCTAAAGTGATTTCTAGGATCATAGCTGCATCTGTCGGCCAACAATATCCTTCTCCGGATTTCAAAACTGGTGTAATTAGTTTTATTTATGGCGGTGCCAAGGTACATAAAGTTTTGGCTACCTCGAAGCTGTAGTTGTCAAGTTCCACAGTTGGTCCAAGTCTACTGGACGTCTTGCGCGTTGATACCATCAACATGGTATTCTCGCCATTTACTGGCAGACCCACTTTGGCAGACTCCTTCACAATTTGTTCAAAGATTGCTGTTACCGCTTTCAATGTTCGACCCATTATATTGATGCCATCGGCGTAGGCGAGTAACATGTGTTGTTTGGTGTACAGAGTGTTGTTCACCTTTGCCTCTCGTATGGCCTTCTCCAGCAGAATGTTAAAAAGATCACACGACAAACTGTCACCTTGTCTGAATACTCGTTCTTTATTAAAGGGCCCCGATAGATCCTTTCTGAATTTAACTGGTGACCTTTTGCCATTTTATCTCCTTACTAAATATAAAAAAACATTTTTTGTGTATAGTATCCAAAACGCTTCTGGCACAGGCACAGATTATACGTAACGTTTACGTTACCCTTACATTTCTATAATCAACCCAATAACAATGTCGCACGCCGTAGTCGAGAAAAAGTCGACTTTTCGATCTTTTGATTTTGTCAAACCTGCTCAAAATCGATTTTTTTACTTTTATAGGCTAAAAAATGTTTTTATATGAAATATTGTCATCAGACGAAATAAGGTTCTGGAATATGTAATGTTTATGAATTAATGCTTTTTGGCAATGAACCAAGTATTATTAATGAAGAAAAAAGTCGACTTTGCGGTTTCCTCAGAGATCAGAAGCCCGAATTTTAGAATTTTCAATACAGAAATTCGATTAATCGATTTGTCGAAAGTCGATTTACTTATCCCTATGTTTTCATTTAGTCTCCCTCCCACATCATTCGTAAACTTTCGGTTATACCATTTTGGGTTTATCTTTATCGGCCATTTTGTCTTCTCCTTCCATTCGTTAGCAGGTGGAACGTTTTTCAATTTTATTTCAGACTACGTTGTATCTGCTTTTGTGAAAAAATATTTGGAAAAACGTTTGCAAAATTCATCAAATTGATGACAGCAACGCAATAAAGAGAAAAATCCAAATATCTTACAGCCGGGAGTCTGAAGCATTACCGCGTTCACAACACAGTAGCCAATTGAAAAGCCGGCAAAATTTACTCCCACAGACGTTTTCGTAGATTATTGATTATGACGCTGGTGGGGTTGGCGGCCAGAAAACTCTCCATCAAGAAGAGGTAAGTATTCCAAACAAAAAGCATGTGCAAAACACCAAAACAAATAAATAATTGAGACGCGTTTCTTTTTTGATTACAGAAATGCCAAGTTAGCGGCAGCATTTCCGAATGGGGTGCGTTGTCAAAAATGTTTGGAATTTGGCCATTGGTCCTATGAATGTAAGGAGAAACGTAAATATGTCCATCGCACATCACGGACGAAGCAATTGAAAAAGAAATTGCATGAAAAAACTGCCGAGGGACAGGCGAACGGATCGGTGTCAACGACCGGGGAGGTGGCCACCAGTGCGGCAAAAAGAAAGATAAACACAAGCGACGTAAATCTTCATCAAGTTCATCCAGTGATTCGTCCTCTAGTTCGGACAGTGAATCCGATTCATCGTCCGATGGTGAAGATGGCTCTGGCTCATCTAGTTCGGGGTCATCAAGTGATTCCAGTTCTTCGTCCGACAGTGAATCGTATAGTTCAAGTGAAACTGGAGCTTCGGGTAGTTCCAGTTCGGATAGTTCATCAAGCAGTTCAGAGGATGAGGACGATGACACAGCGCCACCAAAGAATAAGAAATCGAAACATTCATCGGATAGTTCTTCAGAGGCATCAGACGCCGATGCTGGCGATCTTTAGGAACGAGTGCTTGAGAGAGAAGATGGACTATTAAGGATGAATTTAGATTTGTAATGATGGGTATACACCTACATAGATTAGAAGACAAAGATGAGCTTGAGGCGAAAGGGCGAATACCATATGAAAGGAAGAAATAGCAAATGTCTCTGTCGGATTTACCCCGCTCTCTTTGTAACTTAGAAGCTTTAGTAGTTTAGGTTATTTTATAAATATTGTTCTTTTTTAATTGAAGTAAAGTTTCATTTAAGTATACTTCTCTATATGTAGGAGAAATACTATTTATCACCATCACAAAGTTAATTTAAGACCTCCACCTCAAAACCTCAATTCCAATAGTAACCATAATCAATGAAATACTAAAAAAAATAATAATAATTAGGGAATAAAACAAATATTTGTACATGCAACCATAAAAGCACATAAAAATAAAAATAGTACCTTAAAATATATACCACAATAAAAATAACATGTCAATCAAATAATCGGTTTCAAAGTCACCACCCCGAAAAATTGCCACACTCATGGCTAAACCAATAACAATGATAAAATGCATTTTGTTTAAAATATCTTCTCTACATAAAAATGGAATAGTTTTTTATGAAGGTTTTTAGTTTAAGCCGAAATTGAAACACTAATATTAATTATTTTATTTATTGCGTACTTGAAATAAATTGTTGTCCTTTTGAATTGATATAAATGTTATAAGTTCTCTGTACGTATTTTTAGTTTATAAACAAAATTGTATTTAGAATTTAATGAATTTCATTGTTACTTTATCCTCAGTTTTAGAAACATCTATCAGCACCCCGAAACAACCGAAGCCAATTTATTTTTGGTACTTTGTTTCGATTCTTATTTAATAAATGTATTCTAATGAAACAATATATAATTTTGTAATTTATTTGGATTGAATATACTTAGAGTAGGGGTAGATTGTATTTTTGTCTTACCTTAGATCATGTTACTTTTTCTTGGCAAGAACATGAGCAAACAACTTGTTAATGTTCCCAGGTATAAACATGTATTTCTTCGGAACAGGAATGACTTGTGCCCTTATGTTGTGTGTGTCTAAGCGAACAATAATCTAGTCTAATATATGAAATTGCAAGAAATTATATAAGAGTTATATCTTTATTGGGCGAACGCGTTAAACTAAGCGACTATATATCACCAATCCTGAGATTTGACGATATAGATGTCGTTATTCCTAGTAGAGACGACTGGAAACGAAGTAACCCTCCTCTGAACGGTCTGGCCTTCTATACAGACGGATCTAAGATGGAAGAAGGTACTGGGGCAGGCGTCTACTGTGAAAGGTTAGGCCTTGAGTTAAACTACAAGCTGAATTGCAACTGTAGTGTTTTCCAAGCTGAAATCTTTTCGATCAGGAAGGCAGTGGAATTGATAAAAAGTCTGGATGCAGAGGTCGTTGAACCGGTGACTATCTTTGTGGACAGTCAAGCGGCTCTTAAAGCCATCAAATCTTGTTATATCAAATCCGAAGCCGTCCTCAAGTGTAGAGCAGCTCTGGAAAAACTTACCTATAGATATCAGTTGTGTTGGGTACCAGGACATTGTGACATCTTGGGTAATGAAAGAGCTGAAGAACTAGCTAGACGAGGATATCAATCCACCGATCTAGAAACTGATGACTCAGTCAAACCACCCATTTGTCTTTTTTATAGGAACTTTGAGGCATTCTTGTACGAAAGAGCCTGTGAACTTTGGCACAACGAACCTAGGTGCAACGTGTCAAGATCCATTTGGCCGACTCTGTCTACCAAAAGAACGCACTCACTTTTGAACCTGAGCAAAGCTGAAATTAGAGTGATGACGGGAATCATCACTGGTCACTGCAACATCAGGGCCCTTACTAGTAAATGGGATCTTGACGCAACTGATTACTGTAGACTCTGTGTTGACGAGGAGGAGACGGAGACAATTGAGCATCTCCTGTGTCACTGCCCAGCCCTGACTTACAGGCGACACAGACTAATGGGTGCTCATATTCTACCGGGTCTCAGCTTCTTCTCATCAACCGAACCTGCTCTAATCTACAGCATAATTAGAAACCTATAGATATCAGTTGTGTTGGGTACCAGGACATTGTGACATCTTGGGTAATGAAAGAGCTGACGAACTAGCTAGACGAGGATATCAATCCACCGATCTAGAAACTGATGACTCAGTCAAACCACCCATTTGTCTTTTTTATAGGAACTTTGAGGCATTCTTGTACGAAAGAGCCTGTGAACTTTGGCACAACGAACCTAGGTGCAACGTGTCAAGATCCATTTGGCCGACTCTGTCTACCAAAAGAACGCACTCACTTTTGAACCTGAGCAAAGCTGAAATTAGAGTGATGACGGGAATCATCACTGGTCACTGCAACATCAGGGCCCTTACTAGTAAATGGGATCTTGACGCAACTGATTACTGTAGACTCTGTGTTGACGAGGAGGAGACGGAGACAATTGAGCATCTCCTGTGTCACTGCCCAGCCCTGACTTACAGGCGACACAGACTAATGGGTGCTCATATTCTACCGGGTCTCAGCTTCTTCTCATCAACCGAACCTGCTCTAATCTACAGCATAATTAGAAACCTAAAGTGGTTTGGAACTTACAACCTTGACACGTAACACATCTTCTGTCTGACTCCTAGAGCCATCGACCTTCATTCCTCTTTCATTTATTTATGTAAGCTTCTCAACTCTCCTTTAATTTCCTAATCTTCTCTCCCCTACAGATCTGTCTTTGTCTCTTCTCTTCACTGTATCTCTTCTTGTGGTTGTCACAACGGACCTAACCCGTCTCAGAGTGCTGCAGCCACATAAGTGACAGCACATCCCCAAACATAACCTAAACCTATATCTTTATCTGGACAGATTGAAATCAAATTTGACAATCAACATGATAGACTTAATAAGGTATCCTGTGAAAATTTTCAACTTCTTTCGCCAACTTTTACTCTTTTGACACATCATTTACATGAAAGATCAAAGTTTTATATGGGAACACACCATGTAGAAGATGTAGACCCATAGTTATATTTTAGTACATAATTAAAATCATATTATGAGTCGAATAGTTCATATCCGTACGATTGAGGGTCGTATTTATTAACGGAATTAATTTTTGCTCATCTCATTTATTGGTCCCAAATTCAAATTTACAAATAAATCCAATATATTTTTTTCTTCGAGTATATAGATGGGATCTTCAATTCGGTTGTTCATGTGATGAACATGGCCTAGGTAGATTTAGTGATAAATATTTTAATATATCGTAGGTGGAACTTCTTTTGCATATATTTTCCGTTGCGGAATATCTGAATGTTTGGTTTTAAGCAATTCCAGAAATATTACACAATGTTTCCCAATTTGTTATTTTCTCTATGCCTAGGGCATGGTATCAAACGTCTTCGATACCACAACTATTATATTTCAAGATCTGTTCTCTTCGACTTTAATATGCATATATATCGATAAATATGTATATTGAAGTCGATACACTGGATGTAGATTAACGACTGCGATTATTCTAAACTTATATTCTAAACTATATGCATTTAAATACGACTTGACTATGCAGCCAATGAAAATAGATCGATGTAAGTTTGATGTGTTCTTGTATGTGTGTGACATGTAAAGCTGTTGTACTATATTTTTGCGGAATCTGGGAATCACATGAACATGATATTTATATTATTTTTCGGAGGAGAAAAATTATCTGGAAAAAACTTACCTGAAAAAAGGACCTATATTTATACTTTTATTGGATGGATTTAGTACACAATTAGAATCCAAAGTTTTTAAAATTACAGGGAATTCGGTGAGAAGCGCGCTCATAAAAACCCAAAATGCCCCGTTACATGGGGGCTATCCGAAAAATACCGATCGTCATATCTCGACTAGCTGAGTCGATCTAGACATGTGTGTCCGTCCGTCCGTCTGTCCATTATAATTTGTAAACACGATACAGGCCACAGTTATGGACCAATCTTCACGAAATTTTGCATGTAGGATGGGTTCTAGCCAATGAAGACCCCCATTGTTTTTGGGAAAGATCGGTTAATATTTAGGGGATGAAATGGACCAAATACTAAATTTTTGTCGGTTTTTCTGGTCGCAGTTATGGTCTGAACATCGTGAAATTTTATATGGAGAAGGGGATCGGGGCTAAGAATAAGCATGCCTGTTTTGATAAAGATCGGTCAATATTTAGCGGGTCAAATGGACCCTGACTTTTGTGTGAAAAAATACAAAATTTTTATTCTGGGACGTATATACTTGCTCCTAAAGGACATATACTCGAGATGTTGAGAGTATGTCCAAGATGAGTTGTTGACCTTCAAATTGATACCAATTGTATGGCTGTATGTACTCCGATGCGGGAGTTATACGTAATTAAGTAAAGGTGACTATGTGCATATTATTACTATTACTCCATTAGAGGACGGAAATGTCGCGCTGATCGCTTTGTAATTGTACTTGAAGTGGTCATGGTCAAGGACGACGCTTATAGTTTTCGGTGAAGTTGAGATTTCATTCAGGGGGTGCAATGAACCGAAAACTTTAATTTTGTCAGATTTTATAGTCTTTTTAGAGGCAATTATTATATACAGAACATCATATATTTTACAAGGTGAAGGGGATCTGACTAAATACTTAGATCGGCTGTTTAGATGATGATCGGTAAATTTTCCGAGGGTCAAATCAACCAAAACCTAAAGTGACCAATTTTTTATTGTATGGCGAAAAATTCTCTTCAAGAAAAAACATTTTGGAAAATATTCAAGACTTAGAAATAGGAGTTGTTTATCTATGATCTGTAAAAAGGGTGCAAATATCACGAAATATTGCCCAGGCTCAGAATATAGAACCGCCGAAAGTGTGCTTTTCGTGGTAGTTGTGTAGGGTATCATATGGTCGGCCCCGTCCGACTATACTGCTCCTCTCACTGGTTTTTATTGCAGAGATTTGGTACCCTTTGGTATACCTAAAAATGATTAGAACATTTATGTGGAGGCTATGCAATGGTATATTTTTGGTAAGAAGAT